TCATGGACACACACAAACACGCACACACACACACACACACACACACACACACACAGAGACACACACACACAGACATTCTCTCTCTCTCTCTGGGGCCCCATCAATATTCTTTATTGAGAAACCCTCAGGCAGTTTTCATCTGGTCTCAATTACACGTAGAGGGTGAAGGCTGGATCAGTCGGAGTAAAGAGGACCAATGAAAATAACTGGTGTCTGCCAGTGCTTTAATTAGGACCCGACACACTCACACAGGACACACAAATACACAAGGACACACACATCTCTTTTATGACTCTGACCTTGTGGATTGAGGTGTTACGATTCACTGTAAATCTTGCATCACTCACAGCACATTCCATTGAAAGGAGCTTATAATTGAACAATTAATCTACTTATTTTATTTTTGGCTGGTTTTGTCAGCACTAGTTCAGTACCTGTTCTAAACCTGCCTGTCTGGAATGGGCTGTTTGTTTGGCCTGTGGCAATGCTGGTCGCATTTTTCTTTCTGACCTGCAGTAATTGAACGCACTAATGACAACGACACTTATGTTGATAGGTCCCAGCGGCTGAGCGCTGGTCACCTATTTATTCAGAGTTTACCCCCTGCTTATCCTTGGGCTCTTAACAACACACATACCAATATGTAGTTATTAGTTTGACTGAAAAGCTACTTCAGTTTTGTGTCATACCAAATGTGCAATTGGAAAAAAAACTTCCACAGGCCACAGTTCATTCTGTAATCTATTTAAATTCTTGAAAGGTTCTTTCATATGTCTCTTTAACGACTCTTTAAAGCTAGAGTTTGACATTTTTGCCCTCATGCAGAGATGTAGCTAAAAAGAACAGGAACGTTCTCATCTTTTTATGCTAAATATGGCATAAAAGCAGTTACCCTGGATTTTTCTAAAAGTAAAAAAATCAGTTGACACTTTATTTCTAGTTTGTTCGATCTTTATAAGAATAATCCAAAACTAGTAAAGGCCACACTGTCCCCTTATAAAACCACATTTAAATTCGCAAGATCCAGATTTTTATTTTATCCTGCACCACATTCACCACACAGAGGTTTTAGTAGGGGTTAAACAAATGTTCAATAGTGTGCTTTAGTTTGTGCCACCATGTGGATCTTAAAACTCTGGACGGAGCGCTGCTGTTTCCAGTCTTCTATCTCCAGCTTCATATTTGGCACAGACAGTGTTAACAGTCTTCAAATGTCTATCTCCCAAAAATCAAACTTAAACTATTCCTTCAAACCTTTCTTCATGGATCAGTCAACACATCATTGGGTCTGATCCCGAAGAGTCAAACTGCTGTAACTTGGCTTGGTCGTAAGCCGTCCGTAAGAATCCTCTTGGAGCTCCAGGCAACATAAAAAAATGTATATTAATATTAATGTTTTCAACTGATTTCTCCAGTTTTCAGAGCCTCAACCAAACGACACACAATTTGCACAGATCTATCCCTAATAATAATAATAACAATAGAGAATAAATAATAAAAAAGTGAAAAGAGTTTCACCAATAACTGTTCCATACAGTGTCCATTAATGAGTTTTTTGCTATCACTGCTCTATAATATAATGAGAAATGTTCACATCAACTCCTTCAGAACTCTTGGATTCCTCAGTGAACAGAAAGTTTCTCATCTGCACGTCCATCTTGAAAATAATGAAACATATTGTTGTCAAACAGCCCTGGAGGACTGCACATGCCAATCTGAAGCTAACAGCAACAGTGAATACAGCCAAGAAATAAAGTTTGCAGTCTGGGACTGTCAGGATTAATTGGCTTGAAAACAGAATGGCACAGTTACTTCCTGTCAATTATTCATGTATTCAGGGATGTATTCAGTTCATGCCATCCTTGCATTTGGTGCTTTAAAATTTAGACGCTGCTAAAAAAGGCTGAAACACGATAAATGACGTTTTGAGTTGAGTTTGAATGTCGGGGGTTACAGACACTTGGATGATGCCACAGTAGCACTATGGAGATTCTCTGGGTCAGACGTTTTCACACTAACAGGAAAATCTCCGGTGCATTCAGTTGAGTGGTGACTGGTCCGAGCAGACAAGAGCTATAGAACACATTCCACTTTGGAAATAACACGTGTTTGTTTACAGGACGTTGACCTGATCACCAAACTCTCATCAATCTCACTCTTTCTAAGTTGACATCCGCGTCTGTGTCTTCTACGTGTTTAAGACCAATTTTTCATTGTGAGATATTTGTGTTGTTTATTGCATAATGTCAAAATAGCGTTTTGTGTGTAGTTTGGTTGAGGCTCGGTTGAAATCAGTTGAAAACATTACAATAACATATTAATAATTTATTTTTCACTTTTTTTGTCCAAAGAACTAAATCACGATCAATCCTAGAGAGTAGATTACACCTCTGGATTAGTCCAGTCTTCTCTGTCTATACTGAGATTGTTAATGTTAGTGTAATTATCTTGGCACAAGATGTATTTTATTATTTATTTATTGTTTAATTGTTGTCAAATGTATATATATTATGAAAATTACTTATTTTCTTTCTCATGATTCTTTGCAACTGTGAGAGGATGTTAGAGAGGGTTGGTTGTGGGTTAGGTAGAGATTTGTTGCGTTGCATACTTGTTAAATACTAATGAAAAGCATATTTGAAAAAAGCAAACACAACCAATCTGAAGTCAAAGGGTTAAACACTGAAAAATACCACGAGGCACTTCGGACTGAGACCTGGCATCTAGTGGCCCCATGAGAGAACTGCATATCAGGGCACTTCTGGTTTGGGTTCAGAGTTCAGCCGCGGTGGAGCCAGCAGGGTCATGACACAGTAAAAGTACACATACCCCCTAAACTCCACCACCTCAGTGCACCCCCACCATAACGTCGAGAGACTGACAACATGACCGGGGAGTCAGTGACATTCTCCGATAAACCTGAACGCCTCCTTACTCAGGGATTGTTTGCAGTTGCCCATGATGCACTGAGATTACTTTCCAGATCCACCCTCAGACATTTGTCAGGCATTTTCATTTGATGTAAGGATGAAGATCCACAGCTTGTGAGACACATTCAAACCCAGAAGTGACTCTATGGTCAGAGCCAGTGTTTGGGTTGTGATTTATCTTTGTGGATCATTTATGAGACTTGTTGTTTTCCTTGTGTTTAGTTTCTGCCTGAGTTATGTTCTGTTTTGCACATTTTTAGTCACTTCCTGTGTATTTTGTTACTTACCCTTATCTCTCGTTTCACATCACTTCACTTCCTGTCTTTGTCTGCATTTCCGGCCCTCACTTACTACTTTCTCCGTGAACAATCCATCAAATAGCAGAGAAGAATGCTGTAGTCCTGGGCCAGGTAGACGTCTGTGGTGCAGTGTTGTGAACTCGTAGTTTGAGGTAGCAGTGTTAACTAAACATCTGCACTGTGGAAGGCCCTCAAACACAGAGGGAAAAGTTTGTCTTGCATAATATCTGCATTAGTGTGGACTTGAGTACATTTTCTCAATTTATTTGTACTATTACTAAAGTTAAATATTTGAGTTCTTCCTCCACCACTGATGAAAAACACATGTTACTCACTTACTGACCCATAGTAACAAACATGTAGGTGCTGAATCCATGTCAGAAAACATCAGAGCCCAAAATCATCCCTGCAAACAGTGAAACACTGTCAAAACTGTTTTCTCATGATTTCTTTTTCAGCTGTGGAGTGAAATAATTTAGTGAGTGTTTGTGCTTTTGGGCCGACATTGATCTTGGCCTAATCTTTACCGTTGGCACTTGAGCATCTTTAAAACTTGACTGATGACTGTGCTGAGGGTTTATTATCTCTTTCAAGAACAGGCTGGCAGACACAAGTGGGTCGCAGCTACGACGGGCTTGACATTTACAGTCTTTCCAGCTCACAGAATGCCCCCGGGATAAAGTCTGAGAACGAGCAGCTGAGAAGACACCCAATTTGGAAATCCAAAAATGTTTTATTTACAAAATATATCGCTCTAACATCTAAGCGAGGCACTTACAGGATAGAAAGTAGGGTTGCTGTAGTAATGATTAATATGAAGTGATCGGTGAAGTTCGAGCCCCGGCAAAATGTCTCTATTCACATTACCATGAACAGTTCAGTAACAGAACACTGACATGCAGTTTTAAAATGAGACATTCAAATCTGTGGTATATGTTCAAATATCATCATATATCATACATTTCTCTACAAAATACAGATTATCTCATTTGTACATATTTACATCACTGATTTGAATGCATTTACAAAAAGATATATCTTTTTTACATTTACCATCTCTCTTTTTAATTCAGGATGTGTGTGTGTATGTGTGTGTGTGTGTGTGTGTGTCTGTGTGTGTGTGTGTGTGTGTGCGTGTGTGTTGTGTAACTGTATCTCAATGGGTGTGTAATACATAGTAGTAGATTTGTCCATATCAACCTGCATCCACGCCTTTGCCCATTTGCTGCAGCAGATGTTTGGTAAAAGTGAGTTGTAACTATATTTCCAGCTGCTGGATCTAAACATTTCGCCTTTGTAGCTATTAATCTATGTAAACAGGAAAAAACGCATCCACACATTTGTAGATCTATGCATGCATTTACAGATTTTTTTACATGTTTAATATTTGACTACACACACATTCTGAATACACATTTGCAGATTCGCATTCGCAAATCTCAGCATGCATTTCCTGATTCTTTCACACATTTATAAATCTGGTTACACACACACAGGTTGAGATACCGTTTAAAATGTCTCATCTCCACAGTAAGTTAGGACATATACTTGTTTTTAATCACACATTAAAGTGTGCATGATGGCAGCTTCAAAGCATGTCCTCAAAAGTCAATGGCAGTGTGGTGGAAAGCTTTAAAGACATGTTAAAAGATGAAGTCTGCACTTACAACATGCCAGTCAAATTAGCCGAAGACAGATTAATATCATTTTGTAAGTTGATGTGGAGTCTGCACGCAGTGGAAACTGTTGGAACAGCGTTTGTTGTCCACCAGTAATCAGTTGCCTTAACCGGCCACAGAATCCAAAGACCAATTGTGTGTAATCGTGTATATTGTTTACATAATGCAAATCCAGTGGTTGTTTGAGGTGTGAGCTCTCTGACGTGCCCTCTAGGGTTCGACATGTGCAACATATTTACATTCGCAATGCAGCAGGTTTTCTATGCAAACACATGGTTAGAAAACAACAAATATTTCAATACAAGCATGCGTATAGATGCATGCACATGGCCACCCAGGCACAAACACACACACATTTGACACTATTCATCACTCAAAGGCCACCGGCCGTGGGAGTCGAGGGGGCCTGTCTGTGTCTTTGTGTGCTGGTGTTTGGCCAAAGGCATGTGACCCATGCTACGCTGTTTACACTCCACCTGTTCTCACTTCAAGCCTCTTGTGCCGTATTTCATTAGTTCCTGGTGGAAAGCAGTGTAAGGAGATGCACTAGAGCAGCTCGGCCATCTGAGTTATTAGATGACAAATTATACAACAGGTCTGAGTCAGACCGAGAGGGGAGGAAGGGGTCATCACTCTTACAAGTGGGGGGATTTGTCATATGAAGAGCTTTATGGAAAATCCTCAAAATCAAAATGAAGTACGCCATTTGACGAGAGTGTTTTTTTTTGGCCTTTTTGACCTTTAAAGAAATTTTCGTGAGAAAGACATTGGAAAGTACAAAGTCAACACTTTAATTTACACAGGGAGGACAGGGTGAACTAACAGCTGGGCAGAATGATTTACAGTCAGTACTCAAACAGTGAAGTGTGCGGTCAACAGGAGTCTCTGCAGACACCATGTCAACACTTTTATTTGAGACAGCTATGAGTTCTTACCTTGTACACACGTGTGTGGAAAAAACCAAACTCAATCACCCTGGATATAACAATCTTCAAGAAAATATGTTCAACTTCATTCTTGGGGGAAATAATGTATCTGTAACTGTTTCCAAAATAAAAAATAAACACAAAAATTAGGATTAATCACAATTAAATGAGTAAATAAGTTTTAGGTATCATGCAGTGCAGGAAATGGAAATAAATGGTGACCCAGTCTTTAGTCTTCTCTCTATGCCAGTATGGTGACGTCCCGCACCCCTGTGTCATTCAAGTCATACCGTTCAGTGTTGCACTGCATGCTGGGAGATGACTTGGCCACGGGGCAGAGGAGGGTGCGGAAGTGCCTCCTGAAGGTGTCGGAGAGGCAGGCGTAGAGAATGGGGTTAGCACAGCTCCATGAGTACGACAAAAGGACCATGCACTCAAAGGCTCTGGCAAAAGTCAGGACCAGACCACTTTGATACAGGGAGCAGAAGTTGAAGGTGTAAAACGGCAGCCAACACACACCAAACATGACCACCACCGCCACCACCATTCTGGTGACCTGTTGCTCCAGCCGGTGGCTCTCTTGGTTTGGTATCGATGTCCTGAGTCGCTGGAGCCGCAGGGTGAGCAGGAGTGCTGCGTAGGATGCGATCATCATCGTGAATGGCAGAGCAAATCCCATGACAAAGGTGTAAGAGAGGATGCCCAGCCACCAGGTGTCCGAGACGAGCTCTGGTATGCAAAGGCCTTTATCTGCCGAGAAGTGAAGCGCCATGGGGAGAATGGTGAGGAGCGAGAACAGCCACAGGAAAGCCGAAACGACCTTGGCGCAGCGTGGCGTTCTCCAGCGCGCAAACCGAAGCGGGTCGGCCAGCGCCATGTAGCGGTCGATGCTCATCACTGTCAGGCAGAAGACGCTGGTGAACTGGTTGATGCCATCCAGCACCATGACCACTTTGCATGCCATGTCACCGAACACCCAGCGGTTCTGGAAGTTCTGGCTCGCTATAAATGGCAGACCGACCATGAAGAGTCCATCGGCCAGGGCCAGGTTGAAAACGTACACTGTTGTGGACGATGACATTTTGTCTAATTTCAAAATGGCAATGATGACAAGGGAATTCCCAGCTAGTCCCAGGATGCAAACCACGGGGTAGAGAATGGCCATAGTGATGCCAAACGCATCAATATTGTCCTCAAAGTAAAAACGCTCATCCACGTAAGTGTGATTGTCATCTGTGTCCAACAGAGAGGAGGCGACCATTCTGCCTCAGCATCAAGTGAATGATTAAAAGAGAATAAAAACACACAAATGCACTCGGAGCAGTGGCAGTTCAGCGGGATCAAACCTCTGCTTAAATTCCTGTGCAAGCACTTCCAGAGTCACCTCTTGACTCCCTGTTGTTAAAGTAAAAAAAAGTACTCAGAGTCAACTGAACCAAAAAAAGAACCCCCCCTAAATATCAAACAGTGTTCAACGATGGCCCGGCTTCAGCAGCTCTTCATCACCTTCCCCATCCAGTCAATACTCTCTTATTCTCTGCAAAAGAAGACCTGTCAAAGTTGAATCCTCCGTGGTGGGGACTGCACGCTTCTGTCAGACACTCGCACTCTTTCTCACACACACATATACACTCTTGCGTAAACACACTCTCACGGGTGCACAGCCGTGTGGAAATGAGCAGGACTGCCTCTTAGACGCTTGCCTGAGTGCTCCTTTTCCCTGGGAGCCCTTTTATATCTCTTCCCCCCACAGTGTGTGAGGAGTGTTTCTACTCATATGTGTGTGGGTGTGTGTGTGGCAAGGGGGGGGGACCCCTTATACCCCCCCCTCTTCTTGTCCATCAGTCTCCAGAGATCGTGATAAACTCCAGCTTGGCTCATGCCCCCCTCCAGAGCGCTTCCCTAGTTCCTCTGCTGTAATGCTGTTTCCAAGGTAAACTCCGGCCCCCATCTGCTACAATACTTTTGTTTTCATAACTCTTTCTTTCCATCTTTCTTGCCTCTTCTGTTTACTTCACCCTCCCGTCCCTTCTCCACCCCCTTCTCTGACTCGTTCACAGTTCAGCAGGGCGGGGGGGTCATACAACTACACCAACTGGCACACACACTATCTCATTGCTGGGGCCACCCACCTTTACAGCCCCGACTGAGTAAATCTGCCGACAGTCAAAGATAAAGTCCTCCTGTCTATTTTCTCAGGGTTTTTGTTTTCTGACATTTGACATGCAGATGCCATTGTCTGCTTCTTTGACACCATCCATCCGTTTTTTTCACTCTATCCATAATGAAGTGGAGGAAGTGAAAATGGAGAAAAAGGAAAGGTGACAAGAGAGTGGAGAGGAGAAAGCAGGGGAGGGGTGGTGGGGCGTTTGTTGAAGATAAGCGCTGACCCCGTCCTGTTGCTGCTCTGACACGCATAGCTGGAATACCCCGGGAACATCCCCCAGGAAAAACGAACCTCCAGTTCGTTCCACCACCCACCGTCAATACAGCTAGCGAAACTAGATGGGTCTTCCACCTTCAACCAGTAATTTCATCGAAGGCACTTAACACCTTATCTGAGAGTGGATTCATCTGATGCCACAGATTTCTCTGGACATGCCATCCCCTCAACCTTTAACTGGCTCCAATTAAATGGAGAAAAAAAATGCTTTTGTAGTCCTGATTAGCTTGTGGCTCAACATCCCCCCAGAGACTGGCACTTCATATGATGAAGCCCACCTTATCCTCCCCCTCCCCTGGTAAAACATTACACGAGACACTTGGTGCTACATTTGTACAAGTCTGACTGATCTGTATTCTACCAGCAGTATTTCACCTCCATGTTCAGACGAGACGTGTTTACTCCCATATCACACGTGACACATGAGCTGACTATGGAGCGAGCCACAGGCAATTATATTGCCTGTGGTATCTGGCCACTCAATTGAAAGAGCCATTTATCAGAAAAAAATGTCTCTTTCTTAACATATCCTATGTTCTCAGGTTTTATTTTGCTCCAAGGATTTTTCTCCCTGGGGCGACGAGCAAGGTTTCAAGTTGCGCTGTGGCTTTTCATCTTTGTTATGTTGGTGATAAACAATTCTAAAGGTGCCAGAATGCTTCCACTGAAATGCTTGTCTGACGGCAGACCCCCACCCACCTTACATATTGCCAGCTTTTTCTGTTAAGCTCTATTTTCTGTATTGTTTACACAATTCTTTCACTTTTCTATATGTTCCAATGAGTCCAACACTATGTACAGTATACTGTATATCATCTTTATGTTACTACCAGTGTGCACTGTGCACAGTCTTTCCCTTGTGTATGATGTCTTTATTAAAATCTGAATGTGTGAACCTCATTTTTCACATTTCTGAAATGAAAAGCACACAGACAAGACACATCTTGTGGGAACTATAAATGTCTGTTCAAAATTTTTTGCCACACCATGATGATGAAAATGGGGAAATCTGGATTTGTCCCCTGAATCCTGGATCCAATCCAAAATGTATTGGGTACTTCTCTGACCAATAGGCTACCACATCCTTCCACTAGGTTTTGTGGAAATTCATTCAGTTGTTTTTGTTTAATCTTGCTTAGGAGCTGTTGTTTCCCACCCTGTCCATTTCTTTAAGTTCCTGCTTCCTGCGAATGCAACACAGAAATATTTAAGGGAATGTTGATGGAAGCGACTGTCGTCTGTGTTTCATTAAAAACATGGATAAAGCTGCTCTTACATAATCTACACACATCAGTGGATGGATTTATTGTGTCCAGTTTTGTTATGGAAATTTGTGCTCACTAATGTTTGATGATTTTATTCAAAATTAGACATTGGAGGAAAAAATACCAAAAACTCGAATCACTGTGCCACTGCTGGTTGATTTTTCTTAGTTGGTGTTTTCATGCAACTGTCATGCAAAACTGACCCCAAAAAATATGCAACATGATGTCTCTTTGGAATATATCCAGCATCAGGTGTTTTGATGTTGTATTTGCATAAAACAGCAGAGATCTATCACATCAGAGGTAAACATCAGTATTTGATGTCTGTTCCACAGAATCAAAGAGCGAGGGCTTCTTTCTTGAGCCGCCATGATGCACAGATGTTCAATTATCCTGCAAAGACGGAAAAAACCATCGGGGAAGACGCAGAAAGGCATCTTTTAAAAGACAAGAGTGCACTGCAGATACAGAATATAATGCATTTTTATAACAGGTTTTTCAAAACGTTGAGAACATTTCTGAACATTTCCCCTTTATTGACAGGATAGCATGACACACAGAGAGAGAGCGAGGAGTTTCTTGGCAGATAGTTTGACACTGTTTGACAAAAATGACAAAGGTCAGTCGTAATAGAGTTAAGGACAAATAGTCCATTATGACCACATTTTATGAGAATCTGTATATAAATTATTTAGAAATCTGCATTGACAAAGTAAGAATTGAGAGGGCACAGTTATTTAATAACAATACTAACAATGAATATGATGATATGTGTATTTTCTAACTTTGGAATTAAAAGGTAATGTGCACTTAACTGAATCAGGAATTTTAATGGATGCTGGACAAAGACAAAAACAAAAGTCCTAGATCTGTCACTAGCAGGAAATACTCTTTCATAAGAATAAAAATCACCAGCTGTTAATGTCTAACTCTGTAGAGATTCTGATATTTTTTTCCTTTTCAAACCAGCAGGTCCACTGGAACAGCTCGGAGACCGGATGCGGATAACTGTGGGTTTAATGTGGACCCCTCTGGCCTTTTCTTTTGAGGGGGAAAGACTTTCTGTTGAAGCAAGATGCTTTAAATACTTGACTTTGAAATATTCCCGGACTGATGTATCTCCATTGTCAGGAACAGAGTTTGATCAGAGTTTGGATGGTAAGTGCTGCTGAGTAAACCAATAGAAATTTAAATCACCATCAGATGTTTGTTACAACATCACTTCAGTGTTTGCAGGATACTCTTAAGGTTGAAAAGCGGGCAACATCGGAGACAAAGTGTGGTGATAGGTCCACGGGTCAAAGGTCAACATGCCTAGGAATTACCACAGAGAGGTGAGCGAAAGCAGCAATCCTGGAAACTTCCACTGGGAAGAAAAACTCCCAGGCAAAATCTCCAGAGTCTGTTTTCTGTTAGAAGTCAGCAAAAAGGTCTGCACATGCACACACACGTGCAATGAAAAACCAGTGGGGGAGAAGTATGATTTGATACTGATAAATGCAATAATACCACATAAATATAACAAACTGAAGTAAATGACAAATGAGAAAATTATACGCTGGGTAGCAAAAGTAAAAGTACTATGGCTGTTGTGAGAGTTGCATGATTTTGTATTGACTTAAGGAATTATTATCTGTTTGGCCATTATGTCTGATAGAGACATTACAGTCTGTGGATAGAGCTTGTGGAGACAGACAGGAAATGCTGGGGGAGAGAGGAGGGGGTGTCCTGCAATAAAGACTCCGAACTGCTGGAGACCTGCAGCTTGTTTGCCCACGTAGTTTGTGCACTAACCATATGAGTATTGTTATTATAATTGAGAGTGGTCAGCTCATGGTGCCTGTGACAGTCTAGACAAGAGAAGCAGCCTTTAGTCATGATGCAGTACAGCCCTGGAACCTGGTGGTCTTAAGAATAATTATTTTATCCCTTTAAATGATTAGATTTTGTATTCTAAGGTATCTTTAAAAAAAATCTGTTTACCTCATTTACTTTTGTTAAACATTTTTTGAATCTCTTTTGTTTTGCTGTTTTTTTTCTCCGTGTTGATTGCAATGTCCCTGTACAGTACCTTGAGTCTACTTCTGTGTTGAAATGTGCTTTAGAAATAAAACTGCCTGTCCTTGAATGATTTGCCTCAAGGAATTATTATCAATATTATTATTATTACAATATCATTCTACTGTAAAGTAGCATTTGAAGTAAATGTAGATTCAGTAAAACATAAAGTGGAAACAAATGGAAACACTCGAGCAGAGTTGAAGTAGTGAGAGTAACAGCGGAACTAAGGGCAGAGGAATGTGGTTCTGTTTATAAAAGGACACACGCAGAAATCACCAGCAACATTTTTCCACATTTAGCTGCAATTTTTCAAAAAGACATTGTTTGGATAAACAGATGACATATTTTAAACACACACACACACACACACACACACACACATACACACACTGTGGACAGCCTAACCAAAATTATATCAATATTTTTTTTATATTTATCAGGACCTGAGAAATGATATTTCTATCTATCTATCTATCTATCTATCTATCTATCTATCTATCTATCTATCTATCTATCTATCTATCTATATAAATATTTGTCTGTCTGTCTATATGTGTATATATTTGTGTGTGTGTATATGTATATAGAAATATATACACTGTCTGTGTATTTATATGTAATCCTACACTCAAGCACATTGTGAGTTCTTCACGTGTGTTTCTTTTATGAATGATCGTGGTTCGACCACTGCCGCTGTCAAACGTATTGACCAATAAACTGCGAGGAGGGGCGGGGCTTAGCCTGTCATAGACACGTGTACCGGGAAGTAGGAAGTAAATACAGCAGCAGACGAGGTGCCAGTGGAGAGAAGTGAGTAAAACTGAAACTAATTCATTAAAACGACAGCGAACACTGCATCAGGGTGAAAAAGAAGGATGCCGAATTAATGTGTGACGTCTGCTCATGTCACCAACAGCGCTGAAGTGAAATTCAACCACGTTATTTAGATTTAAAGATGAGCAGGTGTTAAAATGAACCGTTTGGCTTTCATTTACAGGTTAATGACGTCATTTAACTGGGGACCTTACGTATTGTGTGTGTGTGTTTTATGAAACTCACTCACTCGTTTAAATGAAGTCACATTAAAGCTGTGTGTGTGTGTGTGTGTGGTGTGTGTGTGTGTGTGTGTGTGTGTGTGTGTGTGTGTGTGTGTGTGTGTGTGTGTATGTGCGCGAGTGTGTGTGTGTCTTGCTGATCTTTACAAATATTAGGTAGATTAGCCTCCAATGCTAAATCCACACACACACACACACTATATAGTATAATATGTTATTCAGAAGCACATAAAATTGCCCTCACACTTATTATTCCGACTGTTAGTGAGTCATATTTAGCACATGAAGTTGTCTCTACATCTTAAAGGCTTCCGCTGCTTCTGCCTGGTAAATATTCCCAGTGCATGATTTTTTTATTCAGATGCTCATGAAAATGTCATGTGCAAGGTTGCATGAAAGCTGCTCCTCACAGCGTACACTGGTAAATAATTCCACCTCAGACAGTAAACAGTTTGCAGTCTCTACATAGGACTATGAAGGGCTCAAAGCTGTTTTAAGTGAAACCATGTAGCTTCTGACATATGAAAGAAAACGTTCTTGGAGAAGTCTGTTCAACAGCCACTTAAAAAATTAGAATTTGACAAGTGTTTTTCTGTATTGTGGTTGTGGGACAATAGTATTCACAGCACAGACTGTACATGTCTCTCCAGTACTTTTTACATGGAATAACATGAATTCTAACCTTTTTTCTCTTCAGTATTATCTGCTAAATGCTAATTTCTGGGCTCGCCTCAACAGGTCTGTCCACACAGATGTAAATAAAAAAGTCCAGGATATTAACATCCTGAGCAAACAGGATTTGCTGCTCGTTTTCTATTCTGTAAGCGGAAACAAACACAGGCAGTTGTATGCTGGATTACTAATGTGAGGGCTTAAAGGCAAACATATTGATTCAAGGGCTGAAGCACACGTAGTAATTTTCTCTCATCTGTTGTCTGTTCATTTGTTGTCGATACATATTGAGCTCCAAAGACAAGATTCCTGAAAGTGTTGTGTTTATGTAGCTTTTAAATGTCATCATCCACATGGGACAATCTTTACTTTAGGCTTGCAGGACTAATTGAAAACAGAGTGATTACTGTAAGCTTTTAATCCACATATTGTTTTCTTCAAAGATGTATTCTGCAACCTCTTCCAGTGCAATCTGAATGCAACAGGATAACTTGAGTGTGTGTCTTTTGTGTGTCCAGCTGTGGCGCAATGCTTGAAGGCTACAGCCCCGTGACCCAGGCCCTGCTGGGGACTCTGTTCACCTGGGGTCTGACTGCTGCCGGAGCCGCCCTGGTGTTTGTCTTCTCCAGTCGCCAGGTACCAACTGTCACTCTGAGCTTCAGGAAGCACCTCACACACTTTAAAAGTAACCCTTTTAAAAAGCCCTGATGATATGACATGTTGCTGGAGGCAGCAGCTGTTTAGCTTAGCTTAGCCTAAAGACAGAAAAAGCAGAACCTGTTAGTCACAGTTTGGATGGGTGACCCAAACTAATATCATGTTATTTTTTTGTACTTGAAAGGTGACAGTATTATATCACGGTATTACTTTATTTTTTTTTAAATTCAAGCCTGTCTTGTCTAGTGATATCTTTTAATTTCTTACTAGTCTTGTCGTATATGGCGTGTGCTCCAGCGCCAGTTATCATATTAATATTAATGAGCATGTGGTGGAAGAGGTTGCTTGTGTTTGCACCTTTTCACAACATAGCGATAAAGCTTGGTAACAGAGTGCAGGTTACCGACCCAAGCCCATATCCTGTGTAAGAAGAAGTAATAAGAGCATAACTGAGCATTTGAAGAAAACCAAAATGCTTTATTTCTATAATTAGATTAGATGTTGATTTATCAAATTTACACTGGTGATGACTGTGACACCATTATGCCACACACCCCTATAACACAGTCTCACCACCAGCACCTCTAAAACACACACTTATTCTCATTTAATTCAGACAAAACCAAAAGACTTTAGTGAAGGTGTTCCAGAGTACTCTTGGACTCTATGTAAAATTTACAGTTTGTTTATCGTCTGGATTGTAAGAGTAGCACTAAATCCACTTTTGTTGCTTTGTAAATAACATGTACCCAACCTTTATTACCTGTCCATAAAGTAATGTTTCCTCAGCCTTTGTCTGTTTTTGTTTGCAGGATCACTCAAAAATTACTAAACTGATCTCCTTCATATTTTATGGAGCATGACTCTATAGCATTCATTGTAGATGTTTTCTTTACTCCAGAAACAATCCAGTAAATCACTGCAGTCTTTAATACTGCTCTCTGAACTATGAGGTTGCATCACATTAGCTTGGCCAGCTGCTTCCTACATGGCTTCAGTCTTTATACTAAGCTAAGCTAACAGTTTCCTGGCTAAGACTTTACATTTTAATGACAGATACTATGAGAGTGGTATTCTCTCTTCTGCTTTATCACTCGGAGAGAATACACAAGTGTATTTCCTATTTATGTAAACTATTCCTTTAATGTGGTTTTCTTTGTGTTACAGCACAGCTGCAAATAATGCATTCATTTACAAAATGAGTCATGTACCAGTGTTTGAATAATCATTTCCCAGATGTGAACAGCACCTACAAAAAGCATATGTTATTTATGTTGGCTAATTTGTTTTCAGATGCGCAAAGACTTCTGTCACAGTAAAATACCTCACATGAAATCCCTCTACTGACTACAGAATGGTTTTGCTCATACATTATGCTTTTATGTTATCTTTGAACGTCCAACTCTCAGGACATGTTGCCTGTTTTCCTGCCTGAGTCAACATTAAAGTGATTCACTGACAGGCTCGATGCTACACTGTCAGGGTTTGAGGATATTCTTTTCACTGACTTGCAAACAATCTGTCTTTTTGTCTGCCCTTTTCAGAAGCGCATCCTGGATGGAAGTTTAGGCTTTGCAGCTGGGGTGAGTTCGATTTTCTTCTAACTGAAACACACACACACACACACACAC